TAAATATTAGAAAGTGATTTCTCATAATCCTGGAATCTGGGAAGTCCAAGATCAAGGCATCTTCATATGTCTACTGACATCTTCTGTGTCTAGTGATGGGTCACTCTCAGCTTCCAAGATGGCACCTTATTGTTGCATTCCTACATTGTAGAAGGTAAAAGAGCAAAAAGAAACTAAGGGACTTGCTTCAGTCTTTTTTTTAAGAGTAATAATTCCATTCAGAAGGAGCAGGAGGGAGTGCTTATGACTTAATCATTTACCAAAAGGTCCCATCTCTTAAAACTTTACTTTGCATATGAGGTCCTAAAATATAAAATTTGGAGGGGCACATGCATTCAATCCCTAGCTCATGGATACTTAAAAGTAGAATTCTGTATCAGAGGCTGATGTGCATTTTCAACTTTGCTAGTTACTGGCAAAATCTGCTGTCCAAAACTGTACTGGTTTATGTACCCTTTAACAGCATGAATTCTAGTTGTTCTTTGTTCTTACCTATACTTGTTTTCCATGCTTTAAAAATTATATCAATTTAACGGTTGTGAAATATATAATTGCTGTTTTAACCTGTATTTCTCTAGTTATGTGTGAGGGTGAGCTTATTTTCACATATTTGTTTGCCATTTAGAGTTTCTTTCTCTATGAATAATTTGGACATTCCCTTTGCCTATTTTTTATATTGGAGTTTACCTTTTAATGATATTATATAACTTTATATATATGTTAATATATATAACTTTATATATCTAGTTGTATGTATATAACTTTACATATGTGTGTATGTGTGTGTATGTATATACACACACACACACACACACACACACAGAAACACTAATCCTTTATCAGTTATATATGTTTCAAATACTTTAAGTCTATTGTTTTTTTTCAGGCTTTTAAAATGGTTTTTATTTTTTAAAAGTTAATATGTGCATTACAGGAAAAATAAACACACAAGCAAAGAACAGTTATCCAATCACAAGCAGCTTAGTTAGATGTGTCTCTCTAGGTTGTGCGTATATATACACAGTATCTCATTTTGTGTGATTGAGATCATAGTGTGTATCATGCTTTTGCATAAGGCTATTACTTTTTAACATTTTGATTCTTTTTCCTTCAGAAGCTTAGAATTTTTACTTAACCAAATTTACAAATATTTTCTTATAAGAGTTTTGCTTTTTGTGTGTAAGAAAATCTTTACCACAATAATTTAATGATAATTTTTTAAAAAATTATTCTAATACTTTTAAAGGTTTTGTTGTTGTTGTTGTTTGTTTGTAGTACCAGAGATTTAACCCCCGGGTGCTTGACCAGCGAACCACATCCCCAGCCATTTTTATTTTTTATTTTGAGACAGGGTCTCACTAAGTTGCTTAGGGCCTCACTAAATTGCTGAGGCAGGCTTTGAACTTGGGATCCTCCTACCTCACTCTTTGGTCACTAAGGATTACAAGCGTGGGTTACTGCACCCTGCCTTAAAGTTCTGTTCTTTATATTCAGGTGTTTAACATATCTGGAAATTATTTTTATGTATGATGTGAGGTGGGTTACTAAAATTTTTTCACATGAAAGTCATGTTAATACCATCTACTGAATACTCCATACCTTCCTTACTCTACACAATTCAACAAAGTGAAATTCAAAAGAAATTCACCAAAGTAAATTCAGAAATTTGGAGTGCTGTGTTGGGAGAGAAGTGTAACTTTATTTTTTTTCCTTTAATTTTGAAGTATAACTTTAAGTAGGACAATCTTGGTTGTCTTGCTCTGAGGAGTTGACCTTGGGGGAAGTCTTGGAATAAGTTGGGGAGTTGGAATGTGAATATTTGTAGGATTGTTAAAGCTAGTTTTTATATTATGCTTAATATGTGTTAGGGTCTTTTGTATATTTGTTCACTTAATCTTCAACACAACTGAGATAGGTTGTTATTTTCATCACTCCTGTGTAACAGATGGGTGAACTGAGGCACACAGAGATTAATTAACTGACCCAAGGTCACCATCTAATAATTAGTAGTCAGAATTTGAACCCAGGCAGTCTGGCTACAAGTCCAGGCTCTTACAATTATATTATTCTATAGCAAGATGCCATTGATGTTGATATCTGTTCCATTCCATTGATCTGTGTCCTTTAGTCCTACATCACATTACCTTCATTCCTAAATTTTATAATAAATCTTGGTAGGGTAAATCTCAACTTCTAATTCTCCCTTTTTATAATGGGCTTGATTGTTCTTTGAGTTCTATATTATTCCATACAAAATTAAAATTCCACAAAATTTTGACATCAATTTTGAGGTCTCACAAACTCCTGTTGGAGTTTTTAACTGGAATTTCTTCATATTTATAGACTTCTTTGGAAATAATTGATACAACATTGTATCTTGCTATCCATTCTCATTATCTGGCATTAATTCACAGCGTCTCTTATGTTCTTCAGTAATTTTATTTTGACAAGAAAGATCTTACATATTTTTAAATTTATTCTTAGGTTCCTTGTAGTTTTTTGATCCACCTAAAAAGTTTATATATTGTTCTTACCTCTCTTGCTATTTGCTTAGTTGCCACATAACAGATCATACTCTGTTCTTCTGATATGTTACAATAAACTAACACTTTGTGTGTGTGTGTGTGTGTGTGTGTGTGTGTGACAGAGAAAGAGAGAGAGAGAGAGAGAGAGAGAGAGAGAGAGAGAGAGAGAGAGAGAAGGTTTATTTCCTGATCTTGTTTGTTGGTCTGAGTTTGATTAACCCAGAATGTAGCATGTCAAGAGAGATCTAAGCCCTTCTCCTTCATGATTTTTGCAAGGCACATAGTTCTGTCCTGTCTTCTCCATGTGTCCTCAAGCTTTTCAATGGGTAGTGATGGATGTCTCCTACTCTGTATCTTGCCTGTAGTATTGGGCACATAGTAATTACTTAAAGGATCTTAGTGCTGCATTTCCCACAATGGTTTTCTATTCTTTTCCTTCAATCTGCTTACTCCATTGAGCTTTTGACAATGACTCTTCCTTGGTCCTTAAATTGATTTCCATATTTAAATGCACTTGAGACCTTTTCTTCTGTCAGTGGCCCTTTTCTTCTGAGGAAGTGAAGAAAAGGGCTTTAGTGACAGCTGAGAGTTCTTTGAGAAGACATATCTTTGTGAGATAATCTAGACCAGTTGTTGCAAAAGTCCCCCCCACACACACACTAATCATTAGATTGTGGCATGCTTGGTGGGAAAATAAAGGTTCTGATCTTAAAAAAAGAGGGAGGGAAGGCTTTTATACTAATTTTTCATCCTAGAGAATGTGCCATATTTTAAGTATGTTAAAGGCTCTGATAAGTTTTATGATAAAGAAAAGTAACTTCATATTTAGCCCATCACTTTTTCAACATTTTTGACCACAGATTTTGTTTTTAAAAAAATGTTGGTCTTGTCTATCCCTGTTATATATAAAGCAAAGTCATTTATCCTAGGCTGTCTACTAAAGACATCAGTGGCATCTAGTGTTGGTGCAAAGCCTTTATCATGAGGAAATTGCCTCTACAATCTATTCCAAATCATTCATGTTTAAGTTTTATCATCTCATCCATTCTTATATCCTTACCGGAAATAAAGCCATCTTGAGTTCTGATGCAAAATCAGTTGCAGCATACTTACTTGAGTACATACAATGTGTAAGAAAGGAGTTTTAAAGCACTAACTTTGCTGGGATTCTCATATTTCATGCTCTTATTCCTTGATATTTCTCTGCTCTTGACCTGAATAAGTCTGATTTTTCAAGAGGTGTCCACAATGTAAGGCAATTTCATATGAAAGAGAAAAAGAAAGACACATGGACTCCCCTGAGATTCTGATAGAATAACCAGGAGACCAGCAGCAAGGTGTTAAGGGGACTCTAACTGGATATGATGTTGCACCCTTGAGGCTGTCCACCTGACTTACATACATAGTTTAGGCTTTTCTGAGCTAATAGCTTTCAGAGAAGAAAGATGATCATTTTTTAAAAAGTCTCACTTGGAAGCATGCTTTTAGAGCTGAATTTCCTGGAAGCCAAGCAAAAATGGAACCAGGATAGTTTTAGCCTTCTATACATTAATGTATGTAGTCTCAATTGTGAATATGATAGCACCCCCCATTTAGTTTCTCATCTTTCTCTTCTGTATTATAGTTTGGCTTGATCAAAGGAGTTCAGTTTTGACGCTTCCTTGTTCTTGACAACATACATGATATAAAGAAGCGAGTTAATGACATATAGACAGTTTGAGGAGAGACTTGTTAATATTTATGTTGTAGATAACAGATTCACTTCCCATGGAAAGATCTATGGGTTGGATTTGAACTCTCAAACTCTTAAAAGAAAACAAAACAAATTTTATTAAACAAATTCTTATACCAACCAAAAAGGTTTTAGGTGTCCTTTTCCACGTTTACCTTCCATGCAATTCTACAAATATTTTCTCTTGTCATTTTCCTATTTCCTCTTAGTCTACTTCACTGAGTTCATATTAAAAAACAATCAGTTGTTGGATGTCTGAACTAAAATGCCTTAAAGAATTTGTAGATTTGATTGTTGTCTCTCAATAGGGTAAAAGGAAGAGAGCTACAATTTCTATGAAGCCTGGTTTGGCTGTCAAGTCTGGCCTCCAGGCAGATTAGGCCAAGGTTTTGGCCAAGTGAAATTGCCAATTTTCTAAAAGAAAGGGCTAGCACATTGCTCATTAGAGCATTCTGAACTTGCCTGTGCAATCTTTTTTGCTACCCTGCAATTTCCTGTTGGTTATAAATGAAACCTTTCTAGCTGTTAATGCAGGCTGTGAATTGAAAAAAAAAGCATGTAATTAATCATAGGAGGTTGGTGGGGGGAGTGGGATTCACTAAGCCTGAATAACAGGGGAGAAGCTGGACAAGGCACTAGGACCTAGAAGGCATCTATCCACCCTGGCAGGAATTTCTTGCTTGGAGCTCAGACAACAAAGGCATAGAGAGATTGGTTTTCTTTCTCTCAGCATCTCCACCCAACCAGCAGAAAACCGGTGAGTGGGGCTTTCGAGTGATTTTCAGCAGAATGTAACAGATGTCAAAGGGGGAAAAGCACAAGGCAAAGTGCTCTCTCTCTCTCTCTGTCTCTGTTTCTCTCTCTCTCTCTTCTCCTTTTTTGCCTTATTCTATTGGATTTTTTGCCCTAAGCTTCTACCTGGGATTTTTCCTTTGGAAAAGTGAGTTTGATATTCCTTTGTTTTCACTATAATGTTAATATAAGATAATATCATCTCTGATCCTAAAGCAAAGCAAAGCATTATTGGCTCACCTGGGGAAATGCTTACTACTTGTCTAGAGGAGGTGGGGTCTTACTACTGTAGGTGGTCTGACAGAGACAATGCTGAGCTCAGCGTAGGTCACGGTGACATTGGAAAAAAAAAGGGGACTGAGCCTGACAAGCCCACTAGGCACCAGTCCCCCTTTATCTCCTGGTCCCTTGCAAATATTTCGATGTGGCAGTGTATAGCAGCTGAGCCCTGCTTGCTTTGTGAGTCCTTTTATCCCCATCTGTGAGATGCATGTTAATAGTTTGGTTCCTAGAATGTAACTACCTTTTCTAGTGTTTGGCTCTTTGGTTGTGTTTGGTTTCATGTTTTCATTGTTTTTTTTTTTTAATATTTTATTTTGAGGTTTTGTTGGGGGGGAGGGTTCAACAGAAAGGGAAAAATCAAAGCCTGACAGATAACTGTTTTTAACCTTTGCAAATGCACCTGGGCAAATAGACAAGTTTGGGGTGAATTGTCTACTATGAAAGCAAAATGCCCCTTCGGTCAGGGTAGAAGCCCAGAACAATGAGAGGTGTGCTTGCTTCTAAAGTCCCATATGTTGTTCAGGGACTCGTTTGAGAATCTTTCAACAATTAAATTATTCCATTAAGAAATATTGCTGCATTGGTGGGGAGGGGTTGAAGCACCTGGGGTGGGGGAAAGGGATTTTGTGACCAAATGGTTACCAAGAGGAAAGCAGAGCTAAAAACTTGTTAAATAACTGATTTTTTTAATCCTTTTTTTTTCAGCATATTTCTTCTTATGAATTTTGATAACTGCACCAGCTTGGTAGGGAGAGGGTTTGATGAATAGCACAAAGACACTGGGTATTCCCTAGAGGCTGTCCCTTTAAAAGAGAATTCTAGTTTATTCTGGGGGAGGGGATGCACACATTAGAGTAGGAAAAGGGATTTGGAATAAAATTAAAACACCCCCTTCATAGTCATTGTACTGAGGTGTAAAGACTGCTTCTTAATCTGGAGATGCTAACCTTGGCTAGCTCCTTCTGTTGTCTTCAAGGGGAATTTTGTCAGGCTATGGATTCATTTACAACTGTTAGTCATGTGGGCTTGTGTGAGGAAACAGATGCCAGTTTTAATGTATTTAGCCCGAAGTTACAATTTGATAGGAGCCACTGTTAGTAAGTTCCAGGATTTTAAGCTATTTCAAAATCCCTCCCTCTTCTCTGTTTGGAATAGCGCCAAAAAGTGCCTCCCTTTCTATCTCTTAGTCCCAACCCCCACACCCACCAGCACCCCCGCCCAGCCCCTCCTTCTTCTCTATTAAGATCAATATTCCTGCAGGTCAGGGGCAAGCAGCAGATGGGTCACAGCCTCCCTTCAACCAGTTCTTTTCACAAGCAGCAGATTGCATATCTGAATCTGGCTAATATTTGAATTCTCTTCTTTTTTCTCCTTACCCCTTTTTCTCTGCCTCTCCTTATCCCCACCCCTTTCTCCAACACTCAGGTCTCTGAGGTTTTTTCAAAATATGGAACTTGATTTTGGACACTTTGACGAACGAGATAAAACATCTAGGAACATGAGAGGCTCACGAATGAATGGGTTGCCCAGTCCAACTCACAGCGCCCACTGTAGCTTCTATAGAACCAGAACCTTGCAGGCATTGAGCAATGAGAAAAAAGCCAAGAAGGTACGTTTCTACCGCAATGGGGACCGCTACTTCAAAGGGATTGTGTATGCTGTGTCTTCTGACCGTTTTCGCAGCTTCGATGCTTTATTGGCGGACCTCACGAGATCTCTGTCTGACAACATCAATCTGCCTCAGGGAGTGCGTTATATATACACCATTGATGGATCCAGGAAAATTGGAAGTATGGAAGAACTAGAAGAAGGTAATTCAAGTAGTGGGTGGTCGTCCTTAGTGGGAAAGGGCATCCTTGGTTGTGATTACATTCCTGGATTTCATTGAAAGAAATTAGGCAATGTGTTTCTCCAAACATTGGGCTGACTGATGCTCAGACTTCTGATCCTATAGGCATCAACAGAGCCATTAGCTATCACTATTCATGAGCTTTAGTCTCTGCTAGCATTGAAATATGTAGATGGTGGTGATAATGTGTGGTGCTTATCTGCCAGTCTATACAAAGGAAAATCTGAATTGTGGCATTTAGTGAATCTTGTTCATAATTAACTCTGAGTGGCATTATTAAGGCAGACTATGATATCATCAGGGGAGTAACAAGGAAGGACACATGGTTGGGTTAATAGAGAAATTATTATGTCCAAATTTCCTTTGAACTACTGTAAAATTATTTGTGAATTGCAACTCACTGGAAATATACACCCTAAAAACAGGACTTTCTGGACATACAGAAGATTATACTTTTAGGTAAGTTGTCACTGCTCAGCTGTTGCTTCTAAAAAGCCCACTTCAGGGTGTGTCCCTAAGGCTGAGATCATTGGGAGAAATACCAAAGGAAGCTGTAGGTATGTCTGGTATTTTAATACAAAAAATTCCTATTAGAATGGGAACTGACTCACTGTACCTCAATCCTTTTAAATCCTCTCTAGATGTGGGTATTGCAACTGAATTTTCTGACTAGATTGCTGAACATGCTGACAACCTGTGTATCCACCTGAAAACAGGGGGAACCCCAGCTCTTTACCAAAACTTACTCAGCCATAAAGTCTTCTTTGTGATCATTTAGAAAATAGATCGCAGGTTATGTTGTTAATATTACATTATTGGATGAATTATATTGATGATATTTCCCCACCCCTACTTTTAAATTTGTGGGTATGACATATGTTATTAATTTGAGCTGATACAGTGCATTAGTGCATTAAAGGACAGCTTCAAGGAATGATGATAATGAAAGTATTCCTCCTCAAACCCCTCCCCCATTATCCAGTCCTCCCTCCTCCCTCCCTTCATTCCCTGAGCAAAGGTGAGTTTAGAGCAAACAGATCTCTAGGGAGACCATATTATGAAATGGCCAACAAAGCAGGAGAAACCACATACTTAATGACTTGGTGTGGGAATAGCCTGCCTCTGCTTCACTGCTTCTAGGTTTCTTGTGTTCCTAGACAAAGGAGCATGAGAGCTTCCCTTGTACAAGATTCCATTTCTCTTGAGTAGCTGCTATTTCCCAAGTAGTCAGGCAAAGTGATTTGGGCCAGTTACTTAGAGAAAGAGAAAGTGTCCATATGGTTGTGACATCTCAGTCTCAGGATTCAAGTCTGAGATCATTTACATAGATGACCTTGAAAAGCAATTCCAAGGAGGTTTAGATCATTTGATCACATGCAGAATGGGCAGGCAGAGGTTAATCTTAGGCCTTTCCTGACCATCAAGGGGTTGGAGGTTCTAGTACATTTCTTAAAAGAAAGGTGAAGCAGGACAGACTCAAAGAGCTTGAAGCTAGGTTGAAGGAGCTGTCCAACTGAGTAATCAATAGGATGTGTGTCTTTGTTACTGTAAAATTCAAAATTCAGTCAAATTTGAGGATTTCTCTGTAATAACTTTCATGAACAAAGCACCCTGAATCATTCAATTGGCTTCATTTCTACTAGCTATGATCTTCTAAAGACCATCATAGATGCTAAGGAAGAATTCTGAACCAAGTGATACTGTATTTGGAACAAGGATTGGAAATATTGTTTTACCTGATCTTAGACAGGTGTTAGGCACAGATTTCCCCCCAAAATCCATTTTCACATTTTTTTTTCTTTCTGGATGTGTGTGTGTGTGTGTGTGTGTGCGCGCGCACGCGTGCGTGTGCACACGTGCATGCATACGCGTGTGCAATGTTTTAGGAGAGGTGATAAATAATCTCAGTTCAATATAGGTATGTATCAAATGTAATTTTGAAAGGACTGCAGCTTTCTCTTCACCTGAGTCCTCTTGAATCCTTGATAGATTGGATTCCTCTCATCTATCATCTCTGGGCCACTTTGGGTGCAGTGTTACTTCCTGATTAATTCCCAGATAATGTAGACTATAAATAGGGCTCAGTTGAATTTATTCACATGTCATCTATAAACATAAGTCACGATGGATGTCAGTGTTCCTCCAGTCCTGAGTACTGACCATTCTGTCAAGTAAATTCAGGGGTATCTCTGGGTTAATGTTGATAAATGTGATCAATTTTCCTACTGCTGTAGAGACAAATGGGCAAGGGTACTAGGAGGGGAGAATAAAGAAAATGGCTCTTTTCCTCTTCTAATTTGTTCTATTCATCTAGGAAAATTGGATGCTTTCCCCTTTCACTTTATTTACCTTTGGAAGAGGTTAAATGAAAGTTTAAAAATCATGCACATTGTTTTCTGTTAGCTTCAAATTGAAAAAGTTTGGAAAGATTCCTGCATGAAGAATCAGGAGTACTGGGTTCTAGTCTTAGAGGCAGCAGGTTATAATGGGAAGAGAAGTATTTGGAATTAGATTTAGTTCAGATTTGGGGTCTTCAGATGCTAGTGTGTGTGAACTTTGGGAAAGCGTTAGAAACACTGAGCTTCAGTTTTCCATCTGTAATATAGGAATAGCTGCTTTGAGAATTAAATAAAATAATGGATATGAAGTGCTTACAGAGTGTCTCTGTGCCAGGAAGGAACAGTAAGTACTTCATATCCATTATTTTTGAGTCTTTCTAGCTTGTAACTGGTTAGCTACCTGAGCATAGATTTGCCATTATCATCAATGTGATGAATGTTTTCTTTTTCAAAAGGGTTTTTTTTCCTTAAAAAAACCTTTCAAAGCATAATTTGCATATCAAAAAACATCGTTTTAAGTTACAATTCAATGATTTTTAGAAAATTAACTAAGTGATGCAATTATCACTGTAATCTAATTTTAGACCTTTTTCATCTTTTGAAAAAGAAACCCTGTACCAATTAGCTGTCACTGCCTATCCTTCTAGCCTCTGCATACCTAGGCAATCATTTATCTAATTTCTGTCTCAATAGATTTACCCATTTTGGACATTTCATGTAAGTTAAATCATACAATATGTGTTCTTCTGTGCTTCTTTCTCTTAGAATAATGTTCTCAAGCTTTGTCCATGTTGTACAATGTATCAGCACTTTGTTCCTTTTTATTGTGGAATGATGTTTCATTGTGTATCCAGATCACATTTTGCATATCTCTTGTGAGTAATATTCATAACTACAAAGGGAGACTTGTAACACCTGCCTTTTCATTAGGGTGATTGTGAGGATAAAATTAGATATGGTATGGTAGAATAGTGACAAGGTACAACTATATAAAGTGTCATTATCATTAATGATGAAAGACTAATAATAATGAAAACAATAATAATAATGAGAATAATGATGCTAATGAGGGATCGTAATGGCCAGTGATCCCCAAACCTGGCTACCTTTAAAAATCTTTCAGAGCTTTAGAAAAATATAGATTCTTGGGCCACACCTCAGACTTATTGTATAAGAATCCCCAGGGATAACACCCCAGAATTTGTTTTTACAGATCTTGATGGGTGATTCTTATGAGCACTTAGAATTGGGAAGTATTGGATTAGGTGATCTTGATAATGTTAGGAATTACTATGAATGCAGAAATCATTTTTTGTTGTTGTTGTTTGCTTTGTAGATCTTAAAGATGTTTTCAAGAGTCCACACTATTAAATCGTTAATCTAAAATGAAATGAAATAAATAGTAACTGCTTAATAATCACTGTGACCTTGTGTTCCCCTTTGTCTAGTGTCTCTAGTACACTGTCCTCTGCCAGATGCTGAAAGTATCAAGGGAAGTAGGTAGCACAAAAGTTGGGTTTTTGATGTCAGCTTTTCCACAGGTCCTTGGGTATACCAAGGGTCTTAGCAAGGTCACATAGGATGTGGCCCTAGATAACTGTATCCCCAGTAGGTCAGTGAATGAAATCCACTGATGGTATTGTTTTTTGTCTTGTCTTTCCTTATATAATCATTCTCCTTTGCTTTATATACTGTCTAATGTTTTTCTAACTCCCTTGTATATGTACCAAATCAATTGTATGGGTATATTTAAGACTAGATAGTTTTTATTAATGCAAATTTAGACAAGTTTGAGCATTATTATGCAGACGATGGGACAGACTATTTATAATTGGGACAGTCTTGGAAAATCTGAGCTGTATGGTGATGTTATGATCCAGTTTCTTTGACATAGCTTGTTTGTTCCAATGAGATGAAATCACCTTTCACTAATTTATTCTCTACTAAAACAAGCACATTGACAAAAAAATCTAGGAATTTTAAGATATCTAGGAGTGATTCATTATTAATAGGCATGATAATATAAGAAAACATAATGTAATATTTTAATATAAAATACGATAATGTATCATTTAATATTTTATTTCTTGAGTTAGGAATCCCAGGAGAGGAAAAAGTCCATGTAAAAGTGCTTTTGCTTTGAGAAGAGATAAACATATTTAATGCTTTTGAAAATGAGGTCCTTCTAAAAGTGAAGGGATGTAGACGTTAGATCATTTTGAACCCACAGCTTGTTCCATTTCTGCCCTTTAGCTGTGCTTCCATGACTTCATTTCCTCAGTCCCTCACCCTAAAGCCAGCTGTCAACTCCTGCAAATTGTCACCTTGGTTGGCTCTGAAACCAGCTTTCCTTCCAGGTTCCCAGCAGGTGGGAAGCCTCTGGAAGCTATGGCAGGATGGGAACCCAGCTGTGTAAAGGTGCAACACACCTCACCCAGCTTCCATTGCCAGGCAGCTAAATGAGTAGGAGGCACTAAGCTCTGGCAGTAGATATTGCAAGTGCTTGCAAAATCAGAATAAGAAAGCCTTAGTATAGTAAAGCAGCACATTTGATACCTTTCCAGTAGTAGAAGTGAAGGGTCCTTGGTGGGAGCACCTACTTTTTTAACATTTAATTACTGTAAAACGTTTTATTTTCTCAAATGTGCTTGGGATGGAAGAGAAGAAGAAAATCCCTTCTTATATATCTTTAGACCTAGAAGGGATTCAGGTATCTCTGGTGAAATACTTTCAAGTTGTGAATGAAAAAGCTGAGACTGAGAGAGACAAGCGGTTTGCCCGAGGTCATACAGTTCCTAAGTACCTGGTTTGGATTTGAATCCAAGTCTGTCTGATCCCCAAGTCACTACTCTTAACCCCTATAAATACTATATCCTCATTGGGAATCGGCAGTGGCTTTGCTGAGTCTTAGCTACAGATCTTCATTTGGCATTTGCGGCAATTGGGAACCCCCTCCCAAGTGGCAAGAAATCTTGCTTTTGAGGGTGGGATCCCAGCAGTGCTCAAGCTATATAAAATGATCACAGCTAAGGGCTAAGAGTACTGACTTGATGCTTTCTATTTTCTTTCCTTCAGTTCTCACTTCTCATTCCATTTTCCTTTCTCTTAACTTTTTCTTCCTCTTCCTTTTTCACACTTTCCTCCACTTTCCTCCTTGTTCTCTCCTCTATTCCATCATTTGAAGGGCTTAATAGTAACAATAAAAATTTATGAAGTGCTTATTGTGTTCTAGTCTCTGGGCTCAGCACTTTCTATCCACTATTTGATTCAAACCCACAATTCTATAAGGTATTATTAGCATCCTCACATTGCAGACAAGTCACTGGAGTCAAGGAAGACTAGGTATCTGGCCCAAGGGCAATAACTATGAAGTGTTAGGGACCCAATTCTGACTGACATCATATCAGCTGTTCTTTTTCCATTACTCAGTATTCAGGCCAAAAGGAGAGAGTGGAGTGACTCAAATGTACCCTCAAAAGGTGCTCAACATAGATTTGGCTGAGTGCTGGGCCCTCTGGAAAGTTCTTAGGTGCCATATGATACTCTAGCTGTTTGCCATCATGTTCATTTTCATCTAGGGGTAGTTAATCATACTCATAGTTCAGAGGCTTAAGAGGTTTAAGAGATGGGGGCAAAAATGTCCAGAGTCCTGATAGGGCTACACAGCTGACTCTACAGAAGAGACTGTGGATGAGGGAAATCATAAATATATAGACTTGCACATTTCCACACCACACAGTTGTCTGACAAAGTTTCAAAGTACATGACAAGTTGTGGAAAAAATCTGACTCAAAGGCAGTAGGACCTCTTAGAAGGTACCCATGAATCTGGTGAAGTGCTAAGGCAAGAGGCTATTTCTAGTGGGTGTGGGATATTATATATGAATATATGGGGTAATTGAAAGAGCCCCGTTTCCCTATTAATTCACAAAATAAAGACCCTAGACTCTAATCACTTGAATAGAATTGGACTAGCTAGAAAGAAAGCCAGAAAAATTAAGGTTTCTATTAGCCGGTGTCTTTGTTTCTCCCATCCTGGGTGTTCATGTGTGTACTAAGTGGAAATTGGTGTCTCTGTTTTACCTACAAGTCATCCCTTGGTTCTCCTATCAAGACAGAACACAAGCAGCCTCTCAGATCTAGGGAATTTTAGAATACTTAACCTTCCCCCTCCACACAAGCATAAATGTCCTTGAAGTTACCCTAGAGATTCTGACTGAATCTTCTCTTAGCACCAACTGAGAAATTTATTAATTAATATGACTTAAAGGATTTTGTGTTATGGCAAAACAATCGATATTTGCAAAGGCAGTGAGTTATCAGCCTGGCATGTCTAAATGTCTCGGTGTGGTTATCCTGCTGAGACCAAAGGAAGGAGAAGAGCCATCCGACTATAATTGTGTTTAATGTTTTATTTGCACTGGCTAGGGTTTATTTATTTATTTATTTAGGGTCATTACTGATGATGTACGCCTGATTAAATCAGACTGCTTCTGCAGCTCAGCCTCTGAATGAACTTCTGTATAACTTGAGGCTAATGTGTTTTACTGAAAATTTAACCTTTCTCAATATTTTCTCCCCCAGGCTGAGCCTACCTCTTTTCCTACTTTCTTCAATGTCTAGTCTCAGGTGTTTAATCCCCTCTTCTTGGCTCTGGCCCATTTCTTCCTGTGCATTAGTCTTTTCCTCTAGCCGTAAATATAAAATTTACACTAGATCTCTCCAATTTATAAATCAGACTATATGATATATTCTCACATCTGTCCTGCATTAATACGGTAATCAAGGGAAGTACTAGTGAAGATGACCCCAAATACAGAGATCTAATATGCAGTATGTAGGAGGATAAAAAGATGCAACATGGGTTATAGAAGCAGGGAAGAGTACTTTCATGCAAGAGCCAGACTTAAAGAATGGTGTGTGTGTATGTGTGTGTGTGTGTGTGTGTGTGCACGTGTGCACACATGTGTACAGTTTGTTATTTAGACTCTTTCTCTACCTAGATATGGGAGTGAGCAATAAAGGAAAGGACATACTTAAACACACATATAGACATTCAAAACACACGCATACACACACATTTCAATATTCCACCACTTAAATATTCTGTACAAATGATGGACTGGCTTCTTACCAAGAGTGAACTATACGCCTCATATTCAAGGTTAATTGGTTCACTTTAACTTGGAATAAAAATGTAATAAGTTTGAACTTTCTCCTTGGTTTATAATATAATGAAGGGATGGGGCTAGGAGTTCAAAACCAGTATAGGAAAATTAGAAAATAAAGACATGGTAAAAAACATCCAGTAATGCCCCAGAAGTGAATAAACATCCTAGAAACTAACATAAATGTCTAAATTCCAACAAAACCATATTAAGCTTGAGAACCCCACTAGTTAGATTAAATTTAGGAGTGTTCATTGTCCTTATAACACTTAACTTTACAGGGTTCTTCAACAAGGTCTGCCATTATATTGAAGCATGTTTTGTTGATTACTTTTGAATTTGAATGAGCCAAGTTAGCCCATTTAGGAATTCTACTTAAGGTTGGTTACTGTCACCTTTTCTCCCAAAGTCCTACTCCAATGTCAGTGTATATTAGTTTGGTTAGAGTCCATATATCTGCTATTGAACTTATCACTTAACTACTTATTTCTTCCCTTAGGGGAAAGCTATGTCTGTTCATCAGACAACTTCTTTAAGAAGGTAGAGTACACCAAGAACGTCAACCCCAACTGGTCTGTCAATGTGAAAACATCTGCCAACATGAAAGCTCCCCAGTCCCTGGCTAGTAGCAACAGTGCCCAGGCGAGAGAGAACAAAGACTTTGTCCGCCCCAAGCTCGTGACCATCATCCGCAGTGGGGTGAAGCCTCGGAAGGCTGTCCGTGTGCTTCTGAACAAGAAGACCGCCCACTCTTTTGAGCAAGTGCTCACTGATATCACCGAAGCCATAAAGCTAGAGACTGGGGTCGTCAAAAAACTCTATACTCTGGATGGAAAACAGGTAAGTACCTTTTCAAAGTAGTCTTCTCATTTTTCACAATCCTTGGATAACTATCTTATAGACAAGCTATTGTTTCTGGTTGAGGGACTCTTTCTCCACATCTCATCCTTACATGATATTATATATTAGCATTTGAAGGAAAAGGTCTTTCCAGCAGAAAAAGCAATGGGCCAGGAATCTGAGGCTTTGAAATTCAATTTGCCTCAGACTTGCCAAGTATAATGGTTATTAAGCCTAAGCTTTCTTATCTGCTAAGGAAAAATTTTTCTTAGAAACTAGATCCTATAAATTCTTATAAAGTGAGCAAGTACACAATAAACCTTGATTATTCAATACATATGACTAAAGATGAGATCTTATCACTTGTTTTTTTTTTCTTAAATACCCTCATATTGGTATTTTGTATCCAGTCTGATGAAAGGAGGTTAAAGTGACTCTCATATGTTATCAAAAGGAGTCAGATATAGGGGAAGCACTGAAGCCTCTAGTTCATTGTCTTTGCCTTATACACATTTTTTTCCTCTCTCCCTTTTTACATGTGACATGGTTGTCTTAATTTGGTTCTACTGATGGTTTGTGTGAGAAAAGGACTATTTCAGGAACCTAAAATTAGCCCAAGAAAGATGGTGCCATCTGTTCCCCTCCAAATCAGGTTCTTCATGTCATTGGTTATACTACTGAAGTGCCACCTATATTAATATCTAGGAAAGAATGCAGCCAGGCGTCTCCATCAGACAGATGCACCATTCTCTTGAGCATAGGGATCTGTAAATATATGACAAAAAATGTTCCAAGAGAATTGGAACAGTGGCTGGTTCTATTGGCTCTAAGAGAATCCTGGTTCCCCATCAAAGAAGACAAATGTGGATTATTATCAGTCCATAATTCTATCTCTTAAAATACATTTTGTATTTGAACAACTATATAGATTCTAAAAAAGCATATTCACTATACATCAAAATGAATGATGAGTGTTCAAATGCAGTCATGCCTTCTCCTGATTCTGATTATAATGTGTGCTCCAAGATTTTAAATTTTAGGGAAAAATAACTCAAATAATGTATACTTAACAATATTGATAAATTAGTGGCTTCCATTTACTTCCTAGAATTATGTGATCTGAGAAATACCTAGAGGCAAGTATCTCTTGTTTGTGTTTGTTGTACCAACACAGTGGGTTTACCTATGATGTCAGGATAAGTGCCAACTTTTAAGCACCTATCTAATAAGAGTATTTCTCTTTTGAGCACTGTGTATATAATAAAAAAAGGAGCTGCTTAGGAACAGGCTTAATTACCAAAACCTCATCTGAGGGAAATAGGATATAGGAATTTTAGAATCTTTGGATCTTAGAGTAGACAATGAACTTAGAAGACATGATATTTACTCTCCTACCTAAGTTAGGGATATCCTCTTCAACCATTTCATAGAACATTCTAGTCCACTATTCAACAGTTGTGAGATTTAGAAATATTTTCTTTATTTTAGGCATGTCTACTTTCCTATACCTTCAGCCTTTTGATGTAATATAAGAAAAATACAAATCAAAGACAGAGATTAGGATTCAGAAGATTTTGTTTCTAGTCTTTATATTGCCACTTACTATATAACCTTGGACTAACCACTTAAGTGTCCTGAACTGCACAATCCTCCTTTGGTACAAATGGACCAATCCTACCTTCCCTACTCATGTTCACAGGATTCTTGTAAGGATCAAATGAAATAACAGGGGTGAGAGCACTCTATAAATCAAAACACACATACATTTTTATACAATTCATCATTAAGTGACATTTATGGCAAATTACATATATTTTAAAGTTATCTCTGCCCCACCTACTTTACTTCTATCATTATTATTAAAAGTTTCCAACATTTTGTGGAAATGTAGCATCTCTGGGCATCCTGTAATCACTCCTAATATAAAAAATGGCACCTTCATCTCCTAGGTAGGTGACTCCAATCTAATTTTCATCTTCAGCAGGCCATGCAGAGTGGCAAACCCTCTCAAATCCTTTAAGCATAAGTCCTCATTTCTTTGAGGAACACTACAAAACACCACCATGTGATATGGTGTGAATATACAGAAACATAAGGGCTTGATGCTCATTGGAGCAGAAGAGTGTCTTTTCAGACATCTGCATGTCTCTCTATATAGTTCCTTCTCCTTAAAATGTCTCATTCTGCCCACTCTGACCAAACAAGGCCATCTTTTAAGGGCTTTTTCAAATGTTACTTTTTATCTTAGAAAATTTATGTCTCCACTAGATACAGTAAAAGCAGTTCTAACCTTCCTTTTCCTTTCCTTCTCTTATCTTCTCTCTTATTTATTTATATTCAGCTCCTGATATATACTACAGATACTCTATATATGTTTGGTATTTGAATGAACTGACAGACACTCACATGGCTCAGGGAGATGTTCTGAGAAGCTCTCCTCATCCAATGTTCCAGACACTACCCTTAGGTCTATCAGAAGTGATAGGAGGTTTCCAAAGGAGTGCATATCCTACCTGGGCTCTTACATCTGGTATATTATTTGGAGGTCACTGAGGGCATATATTTATTTATTTGTTCTTTTTTTTAGATATACATGACAGCAGAGTGTATTATATACACATGGAGTACAACTTACTGTAATGAGGATTCCATTCTTGTGGTTGTACATGATGAGGAGTTTCAATGGTCATATATTCATATATGAACATAGGAAAGTTATGTCTGATTCATTATACTGTTTTTCCTATTCCTATCCTCCCTCCCTTTCCTTCATTCCCCTTTGTCTAATCCAATGAACTTCTATTCTTCCATCTCCCACCCTTTTTTATGTGTTAGCATCTGCATATCAGTGAGAACATTTGGCCTTTGTTTTTTTGGGGATGGCTTATTTCTCTTAGCATGATAGTCTACAGTTCCATCTATTTACCAGTATATGCCATAATTTTATTCTTATTTATATCTAAATAATATTTCATTGTGTATATATACCACAACTTCTTTATTCATTCATCTGTTGATGTGCAACTAGGTTTTTTCCATAGCTTAGCTATTGTGCATTCAGCTGCTACAAAGATCGAGGTGGCTGTATCACTGTAGTATGCTGATTTTAAGTCCTTTGGGTATATACTGAGATGTGGAATAACTGGATCAAATGGTGGTTTTATTCCAAGTTTTCTGAGGAATATCCATATTGCTTTTCAGAGTGGTTGCACGAGTTTGTAGTACCATCAGCAATGTATGAGTGTACCTTTTCCCCACATCCTCACCAACATTTATTGTTATTTGTATTCTTGATAATTACCATTCTGACTGGAATGAGATGAAATATCAGTGTAGTTGTAATTTTCATTTCTCTAATTGCTAGAGATATTGAACATTTTTTCCATATATTTGTTGACCATTCATATTTCTTCTTCTGTGAATTGCCTGTTCAGTTCCTTTGCCAATTTATTAATTGGGTTATTTGTGGGGTTTTTTTTAGAGTTAAGTTTTTTTTTTTTAATTTTTAATTTTATTTTATTTTATTTTATTTTTTATTTTTTTTATTGTTGGTCGTTCAAAACATTACGTAGTTCCTCATACATCATATTTCACAGTTTGATTCAAATGAGTTATGAACTCCCAATTTTATCCCGTATACAGATTGCTGTATCACATTAGAGTTAAGTTTTTAAAGTTTTTTTTTTTTTTTTATATCTTGGAGATTAATGCTCTATTTGAGGTACAGCTGTCCAAGGTTTTCTCCTATTCTGTAGGCTCTCTATTCTCATTCTTGATTGTTTCTTTTGCTTTGAAGAAGCTTTTTAGTTTGATACCTTCCCGTTTATTGATTTTTAATTTTACTTGGCTTCAGGAGTCTTGTTGAGGAAGTTAGTTCCTAAGCTGATATGATGTAGTGTTGGGCCTACATTTTCTTCTAGCAGTTGCAGAGTTTCTGGTTTAATTCCTAGGTCCTTGATCTACTTTGAGATTAAGGGCAGGCATTTAAATCAGTATTTCCCAAAGTATATTCTAAGGAGAACTGTCTCCATATCCTCACTCCTAGAAGTTCTTCAGGAAAGGTTTTGTAATCAGATAATGTTATAAAATTCTATAAATGTTATGCCCATCTTAGAAATTCACAGTGCTCACTAGCACATTAAATATGTTCTGAGAACTTAGACAGTGAGGAAACATTTAATTAGACCCAGGATTTCCCAATCTTTAGCCATAAACATTTTAAATAAAATTATAAGAATATATATATATATATATATATATATATATTCAAAATTTAATAATGAAAGAGAACAAAGAAATGCTGTTTATAGAGAAGATGCTGAATAATTTAGAACTAACTACCCTTACTTTCAATGGTAAGACTGGTATACATTGGGTAACCCACAAATCAAATATTGTTGTGTTGGTACAGCAGGGACATTAAATAACAAAATTTGGGAGTGCATGGACCAAACTACTAATTACAAAATAGCTGCTGACTATACTGAAAGTTGATGCCAAACTCAAAATTTTGGAGCCCATCCCATTTCCCAGTGCTAGTGATGACAGACAGCTCTAATATTACCACCTGTCAGTCACTTTGATTATTTGGTGGGTATTCTCACTACTGCAATATGATCTTCTGTAGAGGCCAAAGGCACATGTGCTGCAATGGTTTGAACATACTTGGATGAGATTCCAGTGACTGTCTTTGGCTACATGTGGCACTAAGTTGGAAAGGATAAAGTACAGGGAAGCCTATTTGTTATAAAATATTTTATTCATGAAATCAAGGCCATAACTTGATGTCAGTATATTTTCTAATTGAATCCCAGATCAATCAAACCAAGTGGTTTTGTCCCCTTCTTTTAAGTAATGATCAGCTAAAAGACTCCAGTTGATTTATTTGATTATACTGAGTTGTTGTTATTTCTGTTCTTGAGTATACCAGTTGGCTAATTGTTTTATATGGATGGACAAGAAACCATAGATATGGCTTTTTTTCTGTTAGCTTTTATTTT